ATATCTAATAAATGCCTATGACAGCTCAGACACACAGATACCTAATTCATGTGTGCTATGCGGACCGCAGTTTCTTAAGCAACTCCTAAAGCCATTTATTATCCGACCTCAGTGGAATAGAGTTGTTGTTGGTTTGGAGAGAGAGCTCCACTTATAATAACCAATTACCACCACCATCCTCATGCTCCCCACTGCCTTGCTTTTCAATAGTGCTTTAAATTTTTAAAAACTCTTTAAAATACATGATCTTCATTCCTTAATTCTTTTATTCATTCAACATATATTTACTCAGTGCTTACTATATGCCATGCATTGTGTGGTAGGTAGAAAAAGCATAACTATAAAAATCTCCATTTTACAGCTGAGGAAACTGAAGTCTAGAAAAGTTCACTAATTTGCCCAGGGTAACAAAGGTAGTTAGTAAACAGATTAGGGACAACCTCTCTGATTATCAGATCCTTAATTGGTTAACCACAGACATACTTATCAAGAAACAACACATCAGGGTGACAAAAATAGTTTAGGAGACAGAGTTTTTCATCTTATTATCACCCAGTTCAACACATGTTTATTGAACACTTCCTACATGCCAGCAACTGACACACCTAGACCAAGAAGTCTGTGTTTGTCTTGGCAGGTCCAAGATATGAACTTTGGATAATCGATCACGTCACCGAGAAGCTTTTATGAGTGACTCACATCACATTCCAATGCATACAAAGCAATCACATTTACTGAGCAAATCAAGAGGCTTTTATAGTGATTGATATCTCTGACTTAATTAACCTGATATAACTCAGAGGCCCTTACCTTGAACTCCAATCAGAGTCAGGAAGATGATACCCAAAACGAAAGGAACACCACTTTTCTTCATAGTGGTAGAATGGAGTTTCTCTGAGTCACTTCTGTATTGGATTTCACGCCTGAGAAATTTTTTAGAGAACATGCTCTTGGAAATCACATTTATTTAGGAAGTCCATTTCCCTCCTAAACTCTGATTGGCTGGTGTTCTTAGCTGATCTAGCTAAACTGACCACAAACTTAATTGTGCTGGGGGAAATCCTACTCTCAGATCCAAGGGAATTTCTGCATACTTCATTTCAATTTCACATAAATGGGTGGTTTATAGTAAGAGATGTGAAACCAGCATCACTGTCAGCCTTTAGCACACTTACAGCTGTTTACCTGGGTGAAGAATAGGTTATATAATGAATATAATATCATACAACAAGGGTTGGAGATATGCTTTCCAGATGGGAACTATTAAGTCCAGATAAGTAATATACTTTTCAAATTTCCTCACTATTTATAAAATATCCTCCTGTATAACACATGGTTACATTTATCTTTTCTTTCTTTTTTGAGGAAGATTAGCCCAGAGCTAACATCTGCTGCCAATCTTCCTCTTTTTTTTTTTGCTGAGGAAGACTGGCCCTGAGCTAACATCCATGCCCATCTTCCTCTACTTTATATGTGGGATGCCTACCACAGCATGGCTTGCCAAGCAGTGCCATGTCTGCACCTGGGATCTGAACCGGTGAACCCCAGGCCACCGAAGCGGAACATGTGAACTTAACTGCTGTGCCGCTGGGCTGGCCCCTACATTTATCTTTTCCTTTTTTAAAAAATTTTTTAATTTTAATTTTAATTAAATTTTTTTTGAGGAAGATCAGCCCTTAGCTAACATCTGCTGCCAATCCTCCTCTTTTTGCTGCGGAAGACTGGCCCTGAGCTAACATGGTGCCCATCTTCCTCCACTTTATATGTGGGATGCCTACCGCAGCATGGCTTTCCAAGCGGTGCCATGTCCGCACCCGGGATCTGAACTGGAGAATCCTAGGCCTCCAAAGTGGAATGTGCACACTTAACCACTGCACCACTGGGCTGGCCCCTACATTTATCTTTTCTTATATTGCCTACTCAACAATCTTAAACAATCAAAATAAATTAAAAAGCATCTTAATTTCCTCAGTTTTCTACTGTAGTAAGCTCATTTTGTTTTTTATACCATTGATACTACCGTTCATTATTTTTTTTAATGGTTAGATTAGTTAGAATAAGGAATCAGTTGAAAATAGACAAATGGGACTACGTCACACTTAAAAACTTCTACGCATCAAAGAAAACAATCTACAGAGTGAAAAAGCAACCTACAGAACAAGAGAAAATAATTGCAAATCATTTTCTAATAAGGAGTTAATAGCCAGAATATATAAGTAACCTCTGCAACACAACAACAAAGAAACTCAAATAATCCAATTGAAAAGTGGGAAAGACTTGATAGACATTTCTCTAAAGAAGATATACAAATGGCCAAGAAGCACATGAAAAGATGCTCAACATCACTGTTCATTAGGGAAACGCAAATCAAAACCACCTCATACCAATCAGGATGACATTATCAAAAAACAGAAAATAATAAGTGTTGACAAGTTTGTGGAGAAGTTGGAACTTCTGTACACTGTTGGTGGGAATGTAAAATGGTGCCGCCATTATGAAAAACAGCATGGCAGTTCTTCAAAAAAATTATCAGGGGCCAGCCCCACAGCAAGTGGTAGAGTTTGCGCGCTCCGCTTCGGTGGCCCAGGGTTTCGCTGGTTCTGATCCTGGGCGTGGACATGGCACTGCTCCTCAGGCCGTGCTGAGGCAGCATCCCACATAGCACAACCAGAAGGACCTACAACTAGAATATCAACTATGTACTGGTGGCTTTAGGGAGAAGAAGAAGAAGAAGAAGGAGAAAAAAGATTGACAACAGACATTACCTCAGGTGCCAATCTTAAAAAAAAAAAATAGAATTACCATATGATCCAGCAATGCCCCCCAAAACTCAAAGCAGGCTCTCGAAGAGATATTCACACACCCATGTTCATTGCAGCATTGTTCACAATAGCTAAGAGGTGAAGCAACCCAAATGTCCTTTGACAGATGAATGGATAAAGAAAATGTGGTATATACACACAATGGAATCTTATGCAGCCTTTAAAAGAAGGAATTCTTGTCACATGCTACAACATGGATGAACCTGGAGAATATTATGCTAAGCGAAATAAGCCAGTCACAAAAGGACAGATACTCACACGAAGTATCAAAAGTCATATTTTAGAAACAGAAAGTAGAAAGGTGGTTGCCAAGGGCTGGGAGAATGGGTGAGGCAAAATAAGTCTTTAATGGGTATAGAGTTTCAGTGTTGCAAGATGAAAAAGTTCTAGAGATCTGTTGTACAACAATGTGAATATACTTAACACTACTTAACCATACACTTAGAAATCGTTAAGATGGTAAATTTGATGTTATGTGTTTTTTATGACAATAATAAAATAAAGAGTAAGGGATCAGTTGCATGTGCCAGAGACCCAAATTAATAGTGGCTAACAGAAGTGTATCTCTCCCTGACAGAAGCAGGTGGACTAGGGCTTTTATGGTGGTTCTGCTCCATGAGTTCTCCCAGGCTCCTTCTATCTTGTTGCTTTACAGCCATTTCTAGGTTACTGTCCTCATTCACATGACCCAAGGGGACTTGCAACCATGTCAACCTGCCAAGCACAGGATGGTGAGAGGGCAGAAAAATGGCTTGTCCCTCACTTTTAGACCTATCCTGGAAGTTGTACGCACCACTTTCCATCACCTCCCACGGGCCAGAATTTATTTATATGGCCACACCTTGCTGCAGGGGAAGTTAAGAAATGTGATCTTTATTTTGGTTGATCCACTAAAATCTGGAGGTTCCATTACCACAGAACAATGTTTCTTGACCTTTTTCTCATTATTGTCTCTCCTGAGATAAATTAAATTTCATTTAGAAATTTAATTTCTCCCTAAAGAGAAAAATTAAATATTAAGATTGTGTTGGGTAAGGTTGAATGTCAGTGGACTACTAACCACTGTAATATCTAAGATTTTTTTAGCCCCCCAGGAACCAATTTTTGTCTCCTTGAGGGCAATCTCCTCCTCTCCCAATTGAGAATACATGCTGTAGAGTAACGGGGGGAACAGATAATAGCATTTTCTGCCATATGATGCACATTTTGGACCAGTTTCTAGATGGACTATTAATGCTTACATACAATACATAATTCTTTTTGAAGAAAACTTGTGGTGACCTTTGATACAGCTTATTTGTTCGATTATGCTTAATTTTGGTAATGATTGTGACCATATATTGAGTGGAGCTGGGTTCAGGTCTGAGTTTTGCTACTTAATGATTGTGTGCAAAATACTTCTGTAAGCCTCAGTTCCCTCAACTGAAAAAACTATTACTGACCTCACAGGTTGTTAAAATTAATGGCAACAATGTATTGTGAACTGCAAAGTGACATAGAGCTAGCGATCATTCTTTCTAGCAAGGAAAGGAAGATGGAAACTTCTTAGGATAAAGACTAAGGCCCAGCATGGTCTGCCCTTGCCCACCTTTCTAGCCTCTGCTAGCATAACTCTCCGGTCCACCACCCTTTCTTCCCTCAGTTCCTCAAAGGGGTAGTGCTCCTTGCCATTGCACTGTTTTTGCTCATGCTGCTTCCCTGCCTGGAATGCTGTGCACTAACCTACTGCTTAGTAACTTTACCCACCTTCGATATCCAGGTTGCCATTATTTCCGAAGACTTTCCCGATCCCCAGACTCGGTCAGGTCCCCCACCTTGTGCCCCATGTCACCGCACGTCTGCCTCACTCAGCCCATACTGAAGGCCATGTTAGTTTCATCTGCAATCCTGTGGTTACCATCCCCCTCTGCTACTGAAACAAGGAAGGCTGTAGGGGTTCACGTGTGACCGCAGCGTGAGCACACGACCAGGCACACAGTAGGCGCTCAGTAAATCCACGTAGAGGCGCGAGCAAAGGAACGATGCAACGCTGCTTCCCCAGCCCGGTTCAGCGTCGCGCCTGCGCAGCGCCGCCTGGCTCCGCAGGGGGCAGAGCAGGCGACCTCCTCAGGCTGAGGTGCGCACACTGCGCATGCCCAGCTTGCCAGCTTCCAGAACCTTCAGTTGCGAGGCTACAGCCACAGCTTCCTCTGCTCGTGCCACAGCTAGGTGTCCGTGCTGTCTGCGCTGACCTCACCGAAGACGCGCTTGGGAGGGAAAGGTAGTGGTGGTGCCCCTCGGCCCTGTCCCCTCCGCCCCCTCGCCGTCCCACAGCCTCCGGAGCCGAGGGGGCGGCCGGGAACAGCCTGTTTGCAGTTTCCCCACGAGGCCCGGGTTGAGGCTGGAGCGAACGGCGCCCTCAGAAAGGGCCTGGTCGCGGGGCGGCGGCCGCATGGCGAGGCCTGGGAGGGTCCTGCGACCGTGGGCCGCGGGGACGGGGACAGAGGCCTTTTGGACAGGAGGAAGGAGGTGTAGGGGACAGTTAGGAGTCACTCAGGGCGCGGCCTTGTTTGTTATCCAGAAGGGCTGCTTTTCTGGGGTAACAAGCAGAGTGAGGGGACCCTCTAGGTCCCGCTGAGGGGGTTGCGCGGCCTGTGGACGTCGAGGCGGGGGCCGCCGTCAGCCCGGCCTCGGCTGGCGCTGCCTCCCAGGCCTCCCGGTGGAAGCTGTCTTGAAAACGCCGAGAGGAAGCGTGTTTCTGCCCGGGCGGGAGGACAGACGACCCCCCGCCGCAGCGGCGTTTCTGGCCAGGCAGGGCTTTTAGGAGAAACGGAAAGCTCGTGAGAGGCTGCTGCGGGCTTTCCCACGGCCCTGGGCAGGCGGCCAAGGAGCATCTGCGGCTGTTGGCCAACAGGTTAATTCCCAGTTTCCCTTCGGACACAGTTTTGACCTTTTTGCCTCAAAAAATTCCAGTTCCTGTCCCCGAGGAGCTGAACGCTGATGTCACCCTCCAGCCTTGCAGAGCAGCCTGCTGTTCTCACGTGTCCGCCCAGGCGCCTTCCGCGGTTGCGGTTCTGGAGCCGGGGTGCTCTGCTTGGGGATAGCCACCGCGTGACACGCTGTCACAGTGAAAATGAGAGTCGTCCCGTTCAGTCGGGAAAGGGGAAGTTTCTCTCAGAGTGAAACCTCCCGGCCTGTTTCTCACAGGATGGACTTTCCCTCCTGGCTGCAGCTCCTGCTAGTGTTAAAGAACGCTGACTTGTACGGGGGTTATTTCTGGAAAGTCTCAGAAGCCCCTCCTTGGCATTCTGATTCTTCTCTTTCCGTCTTTTCTCCCCATGCAGGGAGTCAACCCTTCCTTCCAAAGTATTATAGGGTCAGCTGGCTGCGAGCGCATCAGAGTCGTGGGGGGGTTTCATATCCTGGCTGCGTCTCAGGTAACAAAGAGAAAGGAATCTGTTCTTCCTTTATTCATCTCAATTTCTGGCCTCCTGGTTTATATTTTTTGTCTAAAGTTTAAGGACTGGATTAAATCTGTGAACAAATTATCCTGAGAGGGAATGTCAGGACATCATTTAAAGAACAGCTGTGGCTCAATGTTGGCAGTAATACAACATTTTTGCTCTGTGACTTTTGGCAAATCAGCTTATAGTCTGATGACATGTAACCATAGTCATTAAGAAGCTGCAGCCTCACTTGAAGAAAAATGATCCTGAAAAGGGAGAAAATATTTTTGTTTAAAATAGCTGTATTTATTTAAAGTGATTTATATTAAAATTGCTTATGTAAGTAACTTTAGAGGAAAAAAATCCATGTTCTTGACACCTTTCTTTTATTGTTTATCATTCACTTATTTCGTTCATCAAGCTTTTATTATGATTCTAGACTCTGAGGACACAAATATTCATGAATATGAATAATCTCTGCCCTCAAAGAAGTCACAGTTTAGGGGGGGAAAGCAGCATGTAAATCAGCAATTAGATGCTGTGATTAATTAGAAGTTTATGATAAAGGGTAGTACACGGTTGTTGGAGGCGCGGAGAAGGTCACAGCTCTGGCTGACTGAGCTCAGACACAGCTGTTTGAATTAGGTCTGGAAAGGAGAGTTGGTTGGAATTTGTTACTAGGAGAGGGGAGGCATCCTGAACAGGAGGCATCAGAAAGTATGCCAAATATCAGAAACTACGAGAACTTTGGCGAGGATGAAGGGTAAAGTGATAATGGGGGGGTGGTGAGAAACGAGGCTAGAAATGCAGCAGGAACCGTAGGATGAAGGGCCTTGTAAATCCCTACGTAGTGAGGAAACATTGAAGGATTTTAACCAAGGGAGTGACACAAGGAGATTATAAACACATACACACATGTATCTACATCTGACCCTTGTCACTAAACAGTATCTTTTAATTTTATTTTACATAAACATTTCCTTGTACCTAGATCGTTCATATATTTTAAAAAATAGCTCTTCGTATTTGTCGTTTGTTTGCGCTGAGTCCTGGGCATTGGAGTTGTTTCTGTTATTTCAGTAATGCAACAAATGCTCTTGTTATATTTTCAAAGATTTTACTTTCTTGGGATATTTTCCTTCTTTGGAAGTGTAGAGACAAAGACTTAAAAACATTTTTATATTTTCTGTAACATTTTGGCGGATTACTTGCCAGAAATATTAGACCTATTTGTTATGCCCCTGTCTGTATGTATATGTACTGCTTTCCTAATCCTCTTGTCATTTGTATTTACTTTTGTTCATTTAACATGTGAAACTTGGCACCTGAGATCAGTGTTTATTTAAATTTCTTTACCTATTGACGTTTTAGTTTGTGTTGGCTTAATATCTGCATCTTCCGCCTTTTCAAGGTCACTTGTCAAGTGGAGTCAGGGTATTAGCTTTATAAATGTATGTCAATTCTTTACATATTTTGAATAGGAAGCTTTAATCCATTTTCAGTTAAAATATCTGGTTTTTCTATTTTGTTTCCTTCACTTCTTGCATAATTTTTTACTGAAGTATAACATGTTATAGGCTGATTTCTGTCCCTCCCAAATTCATATGTTGAAGTTCTAACTCCCAGTACTTCAGAATGTGATGGTATTTAGAGATAGGGTTTTTAAGGAGGTAATTAAGTTAAAATGAGGTCGTTAGGGTGGGCCCTAGTCCATTACAACTAGTGTCCTTATAAGAAGACATTAGGACACAGACATGTACAGAGAAGACAATTTGGAGACACAGGGAGAAGACAGCCATCAGCAAGTCAAGGAGAGAGGTCTCAGAAGAAACCGACCCTGCCAACTCCTTGATCTTGGACTTCCAGTCTTTAGAATTGTGAGAAAATAAATTTCTGTTGCTTAAGCCACACAACCTGTGTTTTTTGTTATGACAGCCCTAGCTAACTAATACCTGTATACAGGCAAAAAAAAAAAAATATATGTACATGTATAGAAAAGTACACCTGTATGGCTCAGTAAATTTTCACCAAGTGTCAGTGAACTTCCCTTCTTCCCCAAAGGTCACTCATATCATAGATGACTGTTGCCTATTTTTGAACTATATACATGGCATTATATGCGATATCCTATTTAGTGTCTCATTCCTTTCACTAAATATTATATTTCTGAGATTCTTCCATGTCATGCATGGAGGAGTGGTTTGTTCATTTTAATTGCTTTATAGTATTCCATTGTATGACTGTACCACAAGGTATATATCCAGTTGATGGACATTTTGACTGTTTCTCATTTTGGGCTAAAATGAATATTGCTGTTATGAGTGTTCTTGTGCATATCTTTTGGTGCACATATATATGCATTTCTGTTGAGTGTATTACTAGAAGTGGAATTGCTGGTTTATGGGCTGTGTGTTTATTCAACTTAAGAAGTTGTACCCTTTATGCTTCCACTATTTATTTCTATAATATTTAGATATTCTATAGTTGATTATTTCAGACTATGAATTCTTGCCAGATATTGTATAAAGTGTGGATTTAAGTTACTTGATCTCCAAATTAACATCTAACTCTTCCACCAAAGTTTGTTAAATAATGATTTGTCTCCACTTATAATCAGATAGTGGCTGGGGCTGGAGTCATCTGAAGGCCTGACTGGGTTGGATGTACAAAATGACATCACAGGCCTCCTCCATGTGGCCTCTTTCTCCAGTGGAATAGCCCAGGCTATTAAATGGTCCCTGAAGACTCCTCCATATGGCCTCCCTTTCCAGCAGTATAGCTTAGGCACTGGCAATGGTGGCTGCTGCTGTTGCTGCCACTGCCACCACCACCACTGCTGCTACTGCTGCTTCTCCTCCTCTTTCGCCTCTTTTTCCCTCCATCTTTCCTTCTCCGTTTTCTCCTCCTTCATCACTGTGTAGTTAACTTTGGTGTGTTTTCTATTCATTCTGCTTCAGTTTACTGTCTGGTGTCCTTTCATTTTAGCCTGAAGGACTCCCTTTAAGATTTCTTGTAGGACAAGTCTATTGGTACTGAACTCATTTAGCTTCTCCTCACCTGGAAATGTCTTCATTTCGTCTTCATTCTTGAAGGCTAGTTTTGCCAGATATAGAATTCTTGGTTGACAGATTTTTCTTTCTTTCAACATCTTAAATATGTCATCCCACTGCCTTCTGGCCTCCATGGTTTCTGATGAGAAATCAGCTGTTAGTCTTATTGAGAATCGCTACTTAGTGACGAGTCACTTCTCTTGATGCTTTTGAGATTCTCTCTGTCTCTGAGTTTTGACAGTTTGACTATTATGTATCTCAGTGTGAATCTCTTTAAATTTATCCTGCTTGGAGTTCATTGAGCTTCTTGGACGTGTAGATTCATGTATTCCATCAGATTTGGGAAGTTTTTGGCCATTACGTCTGCGAATATTCTTTCTGCCCCTTTCTCTCTTTGTCTTCTTCTGGGACTTGCATTATGATTATCTTGGTTCACTTGATGATATCCCATACATCCCTTAGGCTCTGTTCACTTATCTTTATTCTTTTTTTTCTTTCTCCTCCTCAGACTCGGTAATTTCAATTTTCCTATCTTCACATTTGCTGATTCTTTCTTCTCCTGGCTCAAAACAGCTGGTGAACCCCTTTAGTGAGTTTTTCAATCCAGTTTTTTGCTTTTGAGCTCCAGAATTTTTGTTTGGCTCGTTTTTATAATTTCTGTGTCTTTCTTGATATTCTTGTTTTGTTCACACATTGTGTTTCCAGTTTCCTTTTATTCTTTGTACATGGTTTCCTTTTGCTCTTCGAGCATATTTAATACAGTTGATTTAATGTTCTTGTCTAGT